ATATACAGAAAATAACCCAACACTTTCGCGGCTTTTTGAAGAAGAGCATATTTAGACCATCCAAAATAAAACCACAGTACTTCAAAGAAATTTGAATATAAACAATTGAGCACATTTTAAAGCAGAAATACGAAGTCAACTAAGTTCGTGGTAATGCTAGGGAGAGGCATTTCATGAAAACGGAAGATCCAAATCGCTACCAGTTTAAAAAAAATGACTAGAGAACGCCCTTCAAGTGCGCACTTTGGTCTACAAGTACCGACTGGTCCAACATCGCCTTGGCAAAGGTGGCTGGCAATTCACACCATGAGGAAAGAGCGCAAAATTGATGGCTCACCCACATGACGGTTCTCACCGCCCATTCCTGTCCAAGCAATCAAGCCCTTTCACTCGGGTACACGACAGGAGGCCCGTCACGCGACGACAAGGCAGAGTCAGCGGACGAGTTGCGTACTGTAGCGATTTCGCGTCAAGTTAAATAGAGTGTACCATTGTACGTCCTACATCGCACATCACGCGCTGCGTCTCGTCCACTGACTCTGTCCTCTTGCCGGGCTTCCTGTCGGGTACCCCTTTCACCCTGATGCAGCTCATCCAGAGGATTACCTTTGCGCGGAGGCAAAAAGGCACACCTGAATATTGCCTTGATCGCGCAATCAGTCAGTCAGTTGTAGATACCTTGAGATTTATTAGGATAGCAAATGAAGGTGGAACACTCCAAAAAGATCCAACAACACGCGCAACTTCTCGGTAATAGGGTCTGCAATAGGTTGATGCCTTTCGAGTGTGATACAAGTTCTCGAAAATCTCATGTTCTACCAACGTTTCTTTTTTCTACGTAAAATCTATGTGATTCTAACATATGGACCGCTTTGGGGCGGAAGGGGTTCAGGAGGTGGCGCGCACGGTCTGGGATCAAATCTCTGGTTGTATGCCGTCCAGGCTAGCCAACCATCCTAAGAGGTTATGTGATTGGTATCGGACCCAACTAGGGAAATAAATACACTGATTTGCTCACCAGTTGGCCCCCACAAGTCATGGTATGGACCAAGCCCTTTTACCTATTATGATTTTGGATGGAAGAAGAATGATCGCGAGGCGCATCCTACAAGGAATCCATCAAAGTCGCGTGTTCCATCATTTATCTTTCACAGACCACGCCAAGTCTCTTATGAAGCCCCAATAGCTCAGTCTTCTCTTTTTGACCCCGTAAAGCTGCTTGTATTTTTGGAAGAGAACCGAAAGGGTATCAACCGTTGGACGTTAAGGACTGGTCAGATAATATACTGATTTGTGTTAAGGTTCGAGCCGATCGTGTTTCTCAACGTCTAATCGCCTTGCGAAAACTGCTACTCCTCTCACAGAAAGCTATCGAAGCTCATAACGCCATGACCAATTCGATATCGCTGATCGAGTCTGTAAGTTCCTTGGAGGGCTAAAATGTTCTGGAACCTTTCAAAAATACTGGACCATTAAGGAGTTGGACGAATTGACACGTTTCTCTCAACTCCATGATCAGTGCCTGGAAAGCGGCGATTTCAATCTGATCGAGAAAAGTCGAGCAGTTTTCGAAGAACGAAAATACACGGTTCAGGAACTGATGCGTAAAGCGAAAGCTGGTGATATGAAAACACTGATTTCTGAGTGGGAAAAGAAGGTACGAAAGTGGACGATTAGAGCGCTTTGGGCCATAGCACAGGTACTCATTTAGGTGTCAAACATTATCGAATCGATGAATGGCAGTTGTGATTCGGCCAAAGACATGCGCCTTATCCTTTCACAGCATATTTTCGAGCATCGCGCCGAGAAGAACGTAAGTTGGGGCACTCTCATGAGATAGTTAGCCCTTAATGTATCACTACCGTCAAAATAATCTGAGAGATTTATTCCCAAAAATTCCTATAGCTGTGAAATGGAGGAAATGACTTGTTTTGTGTCCTCCTCTCCCTCACGAAAAAAAAAGCAATAAATAGCGCGGCTATTCGCTGCGCTACAACCGCGACACCTACTTACTTTCGCACGGGCCCTTAGACGGAATTCCAAACGTTTAAGCATATCCTGTCCCTGTGCTCATCAGTAAGGTCACCGTCCGCCGACACGCATATTTGTGGCCTATCGCGCGCGGTATGCGCGACAGTTGTTTCAAATAGTACCTCTTTTTATTCGGAATCCATCATAGCGCATATCTTTGCATGTCTGCGTCTCCACCGGTCCCCACGCTTCGAATCAATTAGTGTACGCACCGTACCTCATAACACACCTTTACGGAAACGTCACATAACCGTGACAGCGGCTATCATAGTACCCTTCGAAAGTTCTTCGCCTCAATTCAGAAGGTCAGCATATTTTTCTAGGGGTCCTTATTTATTTAGACTCACAAGCTAGGCCTGATCCTGACAAGAAAGGTAACTGAGTGGTTCCACAAGAATGCTGGGTTGTGAACAAAATCATCGAACCAGGTGGGACGAGAAACAAACAAAAATAGGTAACTGAGTGGGTTTCCTTAAAGGAAAAATAGTCTATACTGTGAAAAAAAAAACTCACCGTTCCCTTTGGGTGTCAGCCTTGTTGCAGATGCCAGCTGTGATAAAATAGTGGCCTCGAGGCACGTTTTCGCGTTCCTTTTTTTAATTGGCCCGATAACATCACATAAACTGTCCTAGAATGAAAAATGGGTTCACACAGCTAATAACAGCCTCAAAAATCACGTAGGTCTGTATCTAAACCCCGTAAAGAACTCGAGCTAATGATCGGTACCTCATTTCTGATACTGTGCCAGCAAATCCTCTAGGATAACTTGTCCAAAGCCAAAGATTGACCATCAAAATGAGATTTCGATGAAGTATGACCTGATAGG